CAGGGGTYTCAACAAGATYACTAGGAAGAGTACARAGCCACTTCCTAGGATCGATGACCTTCTGGATATGGTGCAGGGCTGCACAGTATTCAGCAAAGTCGACCTCAAATCTGGATATCACCARATTGAGATGGCRGAGGGGRATGTCTATAAGACARCCTTCAAGACCAGGTATGGTACTTACGAGTTCCTGGTCATGCCATTTGGACTTTGCAACGCCCCAAGTACCTTCCAGACAGAGATGCACCGCATCGTCAAACCTCACCTGAACAAGTTCAGGGTTGTCTACCTAGATGACATCCTGATATTCAACCGAACTGCCAGGGAACATGCAGAGCACTTGACTCTAGTTCTTCAGTCGTTACGCGACAACCAGTATAAGATTAATAGAGAGAAGTCCTCTTTTGGAGCTCCCTCTGTCATCTATCTGTGTCACGTAATCTCTGGAGATGGCCTGGCTCCTGAAGCAGCCAAGATAGCTACAATTCGGGACTGGCCACAGCCACAGACAGTGAGGGATGTCAGGTCCTTCATGGGTTTAGCCTCCTACTACAGAAAGTTTGTCAGGAACTTTTTTGCAGTGGTTGCACCCCTGACCAACCTAACAAAGAAAGACACTTCTTTTCTTTGGTCCCTTCCCTGTCAATTGGCCTTCACACGACTCAAGAAGGCCTTGACTCGTGCACCAGTGCTGAAGTTGCCTGACCCCACTCTGCCATTCATCCTGACCACTTACGCTAGTCATTATGGCATTGGGGCAGTTCTTCAGCAGGATGATAGGAATGGTCTACCGCGTGTAGAGTTCATGAGTAAGAAGATCAAAACGCAGAAGCTTCAGGACTCTACCTACGAGAAAGAGTTATATGCTCTTGTTTGTGCCCTGAAACATTGGAAGCACTTTCTCCTGGGAAGACACTTCGAGAACTTTTCAGACCACTCCACCTTACAATGGATGAAGTCCCAAGGAGAGTTAAATGATAAGTTGGCACGGTACATTCAGTTCATAGACATGTTTGACTTTGAACTGAAGCATAAGAAGGGCTGCTACAATAAGGTAGCAGATGCCCTCTCTCGTAGGCCTGACTCTTTTACATTGATCTCCTCTACTCACTCCTCTCCTCTACTCACTCCTTTGGAAAGGAGACCCGTCAGACCATTGCTCGTTTTTTGCCTCAGGAGCCGACTTATGGACCCATAGTTAGGAATCTGCAAGCGGATCCCAATTCTGAACCCGGCTATGCCCTGAGTTCAGACTTGCTGTATACTTACAGCAGAGGGGAGGAACGCTTGTGCATTCCCCAAGATCAGCGGCTCAGGACACTGCTGATGTCAGAGTGGCATGATGCCCGTGGACATTATGAGTTCTTAAAGTCATATGCAGCCCTGTCGCAGCGCTTCTTCTGGAAGGAGATGCGGAGTGATATCCTGCGCTATGTGGAAACCTGTGAGCTTTGCCAAAGGAACAAGGTCCAACGTAGGCCTCCTCTGGGACTACTCAAACCCTTACCCACACCTGATGGCCCTGCTGAATCTGTGTCGATTGATTTCACAGATTTAGGCAAGACCACCCCTCGTGGCATGCGTCAGGTAATGGTCTGTGTGGACAAGTTTTCCAAATACGTAGAGTTCATCCCCTTGCCAGAGGTAGCTAGAGTCCCGGCTGTGAGAGCAGCCTTTTCAGAGAGGTGGGTCACACATCATGTACTGCCCACTTCTACAGTCAGTGATAGAGACCCCCGATTTTGCAGCGATGAGTGGCAGTCCTACTGTAAGGACTACCTGCACTCATGACTGGACATGACCTCTGGTCATCATCCTGAAGCCAATGGTCAGGCTGAAGTCCTTACTTGGCTCGGGCACAACTTGTTTAAACATGTCTGTCCATTCCTCGACTGGGTTCAGTCCATACCGGTTGCACTGGGGACGTGAACCACGACAGCCTCTCGATGATATCATCGATAAGGCTAAGTCAGACCTGACACCAGGCACCGCAGAGTTCACCAGACGCTACCGCATAGATGTGGAAAAAGCACGGATGAACTTGTTCAAAGCCCAAAAGGCAATGACTGAACAAGCTAATCGCCACAAGCGGCCTTCCCCCATCCGCACTGGTGATTATGTCTGGGTAGCCAGTTCTGAGTTATCGAGGGATGAAGATATTTCCCCTAAGTTGTTGCCTCGCTATTTGGGTCCATGGCAGGTCTTAGATACAGTGGGCGCTGATCCATTCGGCCCATCCTATGTCATCGACATCCCGCTGCATCTACGAACCTACCTGGTCTTCCATGCATCTAAGCTGCTTCCATTCACCCCAGCTGATGCATTCCCAGACCGGCCCCCTCAATTTGGTCCACCGATCCCTGGCAAGGGGTATGACGTGGAATGGATTGAGGATGAGTGGGGCACAGGCCCCGATCAGCAGTATCTTGTGAAGTTCGCTTTCCAGCCTCCTACGGAGAACAAATGGTTCTACAGAAAGGAACTTCTCAAGACAGCAAAGTCAGTTGTTCTGCGATATGAAGCGGCTCAGAAGGGCAACTTTCCTCGCCTTTCACCTCGTCTGCATCCCTAGCTCGGAGGTCCTCGCTCCCCGGGTGGGTACGCCTGCAATGACTTGCTGATTTTGACTGCCGAGACTGAATGCGAGGCTGTACAGTACCAGCGGTAGGGTAGATTCGTCATTTTGTTTGGCTGAGGGCTAACCGAGAGACCTACCTGTACGAAAAATCCGTGAGGGACATATCTGCAAATATGGGAAATATAGGCCCAACACTAACCCGAATTTCCTATAGCTACCCCTACTGCGTATAGCAGGCCCGGGCTACCCCTAGGACGGACAGGCCCGAAGGGCCTATACCGATAGACGGTCCTATAGCCTATAGCCGGGTAGGGAGAGGCCGAGAGGCCGAAACTGGAACGGTACCGGTCGGTCCAGTTAGTCGGGTCTAGGTCTAGGCTAGGGTAGTGTAGATCTATTAATAGATTAGGAAAATCGGTTCGGGACTTTTGGCGGTTCATTTCTCGCAAAGCAGGGTTTGGAGAAGCCAAGCAAGTTGGTGGCGGTGATTGTCTACAGGCGGTATCCTAAGACCCTCGCCGTGGACGGCAGCCATACCTGACCCTTCTGAAGGTTGTCGGAGTTGGGGCATCCTCAACGCATCTACCCCTGAGGGTATCTGCGTCTGGCCGGGCTATCTCGAGGCTCTTCACTGAGTGTTTGCGGGTGGCGGTAGCCAGAGCTGCCTGTTTCTTCGTCAGAGTTGTCCATCGACACTGAAGACTCCATCGCATGATCTGTTCTTCATCTGGGTGGCTGGCGCTGGCCTCTGGGAGGCTGTTTCCGTTGTGCGCTACTAACTGGGTGTAGGGTAGAGAGTGGAGTGTGGGGTTCTGAGTGTGGCGAGATACTGAAACAAACTTTGTAACGATATCTGGTTTTAATTGGCTTTTCATCAGTGTGAATTTCCAATTGTTATCCTCGCAGGTTTCTTCTTGTGATTGGTTGTTGGGAGTTTGTCAGAGAGTGAGAAACACGCAGTGTCCTCTCCCCATCTGTGCATGGCTGAACTTTCGCTGTTTACTCTGATTTGTGTACAGTTGGACTCTGTTTCCTCTCCCCCTTCTCTTATGCATGTATGGGCGTGTATGAGACTGCCTGTGTGTGAGTGGCGGTAAAAATCATCAGACAACCAAGTTCATAACATTTAGTTACTCGCTCGAGGGGACCTCGCTCTTGAGGGGGTGTTAGTGTAAGGACCTGCCAAGTTTGGGTGTCACGCTGCTGGAGTGACCAGCAGAGGAGCGCTGTGTTGAGTGTTGGGGGAGAGGAGCGCCAGGGCTTCCACCTTGGCTATGGTTGACAGCGCTTGGTGGGAGGAGGAAGAAGACGGGGACTAGGAGAGGGGAGGGGTACTTACCTGGCTATGGTGGACGCCATCTTCATCACCTTGGTAGGCGCTGCATCCGAAACCCCCATTGGGCTAGCGCTGCATCGAGAAGCTTCGAGGCAGAGTCAGGCGTGGCGGCCTGAGAGGAAGAGGCCATAGCTGCTTTGCATTGTGTTTTGCACATCAGGGCAAGTCCCTTAGTTGCCCGCCATAGCCTCGGCCTGGATGAAGAAGAGCGAGGGAAGCCATGACTATGGTGGACCTCAAGTTGTGCTGGCAGTAGAAGATGGATTCGGACATTCATAATGATTGATTCTGGTTCAGCCATTCATCATTATTATTATTATTATTTATTGTTTGAACGAGAGAGCAGGATATAAGGAGGAGGAGCTGATTGGCGAAGGGGGGGGGAATTATGATGGGTCTTTTGCTTGTGAACATCTTCTTCTTCTTCTTTCTTCCTTCTTCTTCTTCTTCTTCTTCTTTCCCTCTCTCTCCTCTCAAGTTCATTCATTTCTTTTGCAATTGGACGACATTGTACTTTCTTGTGAATTTGCACTTTGAAATTGGCCAGGATCGTAACACCCCGAAGTTGGAGGCACATTGCCTCAAAGTTGAGTTTTGCATTGTGAATTGGACCAGGCCATTGCTAACCACTGAAATGAGACATGTCTGCTCCTGGTTGACTTGAGAATCTGATTACCACCGGTTGGCACCTATTACTGCGTTCAAGTACGAAGATCCACAACGACGATTGGGAAGAGGGCACACTGGTGCTGTGTAGTTGTGTGGGTGTGAGGGTGTGCAGGTATATGGTACACACGCCTATGAGTGGGTACTTCTCAATGTGTGAATGTATCTGAACGTGAACATGGCATTGCCTTCCTCTGCTTCTGCAATCCCTTCCTCACTTCTGACGTTCAGTCATGTGTTTGCACAGCATTTGGTGAGATTGCTAAAGAAACAACATACATCAACCAGTGAAGTCGCCACAGCTTGATGCAACCCCATCTTCATGAGATACTGTGCTGGGAAAAGATTGCAGTCCATTGATTTTTTTCTCCATCTTCATGGCAACTGTGATTATCGAAGAAGAGAAGGCGCCTCACTCACCTTGTCAGTGAACATGTCGCGAACAACTGCAACCGTGGGACCCATCGCCCGATGGAGAATTGTCGGGAGAATAGCATTTGTTGAGGTTACTGCAGCAGCAGCAGCTGCAGTTGCAGCTTCAACAAGAATCTCCCTCCATGTTTCCATCAACTTAACTACATCTTTCTCCAGCTCATCCTCACCATGATCACATGCTTCTGTACGAACGATAAGGCTGAATCCCGCAGGACGAATCCTCTTTGCAATGCTCTTTAGCCTTGCACGCTCTTGGCCACTGATTTTCTGCGATACTCCGACCATCCCACCACAGGGTACCAGCACCTGCGAAAAAGACAGTATAACCGCACTCCCAGTGAACTGAAAGGGTATCAAAATTGCAAGATAGCAGACCCACTTAAGCAGCCCCATAATTTGACAACAAGCAATTTCTGTTGATGTCAACTTTCACTTTTCTCGTTCCAATCTTCCCCACTGTTTTTGTCTTTGTGATTTAGGTGTATGGATCCTTGAAAGGATGTCCCAGCCTTCTTGGAGTGAATCACATGAATGCCTCTTGCTCTGTTGCACAATACTCAGCCATTCCCCCCCTTTTCTTTTCAACTTCAACATCTTGTCAGCATCCACCAATTGTAAGGATGGCTATGCGAGGATTTCGGGTACATAATTTCATTAAAACACGAATGGAGTCGAGAGTTCCACTGCTTGGCTCGAAGAGCGGAGCCTAAACGGTTGTGACAAGTGCTCTCCGAACCGTGCGAGATGGTCACCCATCACATGGCTCTCCAACTCAAATTGCTTTATTATTATATAAAAGAACAAATTGTTAGGAGACAGCATCCACATATGGCCACTCGCTCTTGCAAATTCGAGATGGCAGGTCAAACACGGATTCACACTCGATTACAAAGTGAAAATGCCGTGAAACTTCAAAATCCACGAAGCTCTGTCACTCACTGGTACACAGACTCTGCCCATAACAGGGATGCCTCCCATGTTCCCAAGGATCCGGCCAGCCACTGCACCCAGCATCAGCACTCCAGAATGACAATTCAGCTTCCACACAAGACTTTTGTTACTTGGCCTTAGGTACTGGTAACGTTCTGGCCTGGCCTGAGTTGTGCCATGCAACCTGCTGGACACCCTACCTTTATTGACAGCCTACGAACGGTACTAAGAGCTTTGTTATGAGTTTGTGCAGGTGCAGGTGGTGGGATCAAGACTCAACAAGCACAAGATGTTTAATCTCTATAGAACAATCCCAGGTAAGGTTTCAGGTTCCAATCTCACCGTGTTCAATCAAGGGGGAAACGCACAGGCAGGTGAGAGTCTGGGATCGAATCCCAGCACGCAAATGAACATGAATCCTTTCACTCTCGCCAGCCCATTTCAAGCATCGTGCAGAAACAGAGAAAAGTCTGATATGTGTTGCAGTTTACTACTTATTCTGCATTATCTGCTATTCTGATTCCCTGTTTTTGCCTTTCATACCTGGAGACTATTCTGGGCGCTGTATCTTCTAGTGCGTTCTTGCTGAACCATCTATCTTCTTATGGAGACTTTTGACATGAGAACTTTACCCTCTACTGTTTCGTTGGTCTACCCCTTCGTCCTCCGAGTTCTGCTTCTTCTTGTATTCTTTCAGTATCATATCTCCCATCCATATCAGATGGTAACGAAGAAGGTCGTGAAGGGAACAGACTTTCGCATATGGCATTAGCTTTGAAGAATGAAATACTGGGTAAATTTTCAAATGGTAAGGGACATCGATCAGGTAATAGCATCCATCAGCTCCTCCATTAACTTGTAAATTCTAACACTTCCCATGGGCCTAAGTGTGCAGGATACAAGTTCTGTGAAATGCTTTCTTCAGGGGTAAATTCAGAGGTAAATTCTTTGCAGCATACCCATACCAAATCACCCTCTTTAGATTCTGCTGGCCTTCGGTGCTTGTTCGCAGATTCAATCATTTTTTGTTGATCGTGCCTGATTTTCTCTGTTACCTTATTTAGGTCCTTCTCATACATCACTGCAAATTCTCTAGTCCCAGGTGGCAAGCGCTGAATCGGATCAGTATTAAGCAGGGTGATGGGCCCTGCGTGGCTGCCAACCTTTATGGAGTTCATTTGGTGTCTTTTCAGTTGTCAAGTGGACATAACCATTATACACTGAAGCAACTTTGGGAAGGAGCTCATCCCAGTCTACCTGATCCGGTCTAATGTACATAAGGAGAGTTTGCTGCAAAAGGTTGCGCATCTCGTTTCAGGGTGTCTACCTGACGACATAATCTGTCTAGTCCCATACAGGGTCTGCAACTTCTGGCAATGCTCTCCAGTGAATCTAACGTCTCTGTTGCTAAGTATTGCACAAGGATGCCCATTGTCTGGCATCCAGCAGTCAAAGAGCTTCCTAATGACTAATTCCGACTTAGCTTCTGCAGGTAGGGGAATGAAGATGGCATACTTACTAAACCTATCCACAAGAGCTTGGGTTCTAGACTTGTTCCTCTGACAGACTTCAGAGGTTCTGACATAGTGTATACAGTCAGACTTCATCCCTTCCCGCGTAAACTTCTCTACTAATATTGCAAAGGTCTTTTTCCATCCAAAGTGTCCCTGCAGATCATGACAGTGCTTAAAAATCAGACTTGTCACAGGTTCTGCGTCAGGAATGCACACACTCTCTCTGCCTTTGGATGAGAAAAACAACAAACCATCGGTCACTCGATATCCTGGTACCTTTGCAGGATTAGTACTGCATTTCTCTATCACTTCAGTCAGTGTAGGATCAGATTTATATGCTTCTCTTACCCTCTCCCTGATATCATCCGCCAGATCTAATCCTGTGATGACTGCAACAAAGTGATCACCCCTCCTACTTCAATGCATCAGCGTTGTACTCTTCCCTGTGACAGTTTTCAACTCAAAATCAAAGGTATCAACGACTTGTAGCCACTTAGCCTGTTTATATGTCAATCTGGGCTGCATTTTAAGCCACTTCAGGGTCTCACGGTCGGAGTACTCCTCGAAGTGTCTGCGTAGCAAATAATGTTTTCAGGCTTGTATTGCAGTATACAAAGCATATAATTCTCTTTCATAGGTAGATGCTGCAATTTCCTTATTAGGTAACCTCCTACTCCAGCATTTTATTGCCTATATCGTTTACCTTCCTCATGTTGTTGCAGAACACCCCCAATGCCACACTGACTAGTGTTATGAACTTGGTTGTCTGACGATGTTTACCGCCACTCACACACAGACAGTCTCATACACGCCCATACATGCATAAGAGTAAGGGGAGAGGAGACAGAGTCCAACTGTACACAGATCAGAGTAAACAGCGAAAGTTCAGCCATGCACAGATGGGGAGAGGACACTGCGTGTTTCTCACTCTCTGACAAACTCCCAACAACCAATCACAAGAAGAAACCTGCGAGGATAACAATTGGAATTCACACTGATGATGAGCCAACTAAAACCAGATATCGTTACAGAGTTTGTTCCAGTATCTCGCCACACTCAGAACCCCACACTCCACTCTCTACCCTACACCCAGTTAGTAGCGCACAACCGAAACAGCCTCCCAGAGGCCAGCGCCAACCACCCAGATGAAGAACAGATCCTGCGATGGAGTCTTCAATGCCGATGGACAACTCTGACGAAGAAACAGGCAGCTATGGCTGCCGCCACCCACAAACACTCAGTAAAGAGCTTGATATAGCTTGGCCAGATGCAGATACCCCCAGGGGTAGATGCGATGAGGGTGCCCCAGCTCCGGCAACCTTCAGAAGGGCCAGCTATGGCCGCCGTCCTAGGCAAGGGTCTCAGGATGCCGTTTGCAGACAATTGCCACCGCCAACTTGCTTGGCTTCTCCAACTGCTGCTTCGCGAGAATGAACAGCCCAAAAGTCCCAAACAGTCCTACCCCAACCTACTTGTAGATTCTACACTACCCTAACCTAGGACCTACCGGTACCGTTTCACTTAGGGCCTACCCGGCCTCTACGAAATCGGTCCTACTGCTGCGCTTATGGCTCAAGGCCACTTAGGGCCGGTAACCACTCAGCCTCTACTGCTGTTAATTCAGACTACTTTTAGAACAGCGGGCGGCCCTCAGTGCAACCAAAAAAACACAGCAAACAGCAAACACAGCAGTACACTGTACAGCCTCGCAGTCAACCACGGCAGTCAAAATCAGCAAGTCATTGCACTAGCATCAGTTGTGACTACAAACGGTTTATTGGGGTCTGCAATCTTCAGAATGGGATAATGTGTGAACTTCCATTTTATCTGTTTAAAAGCTCTCTCATCTACGCCCTTCTCAGTCAATCTCCTCATGGGTGCGAGTATTTCGCTCCTATTTGGGATAAAATGCTTATAATAATTGACAAGACCCATAAACGATTGTAGTTCATGGATGTACGTAGGGCGTGGCCAATCTCTCACAGCAGCAATCATACATCATGAGTTTGCCAGAACTCCAAGAACTAAGTGCGAGGCACAGGCCCTCGATTTGCCTTACAGGGCCTATTTTCCACTCAGTCGGCCGCCCTATGTGAAGGCAGGCACGACCAAGGCCCCCAGGTCATTTTGGGGTCACCACGCAACTGGGGAAAATTCAGGCAGTTGTGCAGCGCCAGTTGGTTGGAAGCGCCCAGGCCCAGGCTGCCTTTCATTGCATGTAACTGAGGCAGGCCCTGGGCCGGATACACAAAGTGGACCGAACAAAGGCTGAGGGCAGTTGGGTGCTGGTAACCACCACAGGCCCTGGGCCTGTTTACTTCGGACTGAGGCTCAACCTCATGGGGCCTACCGGAAGCTTCTAGACCAGGGCCCAGTACCACATTACTGCACGCAGCAGCAGGCCACCTCGATATAGAGAAGGGCCTGCCTACACATTGGACATTCGGGCACTGGCTGCTTTGTGCGCAAGCGCTGCTGCGCTATCGCCTGCCAGGTTCACGGGCTCACGGGCGAGCTGGAAAGAGCAGGCAGCCATAGCCGAGCTGCGCTGCTGTATGCTAGATGGGGCGCATGGTGGTCCTTGGGTGCAAGTGGCATCTGTGAGTTGGGGAACGAGGTTGTGAGTGATACGAGAGACATACCTGGTGCTTGAAGCGTGCGGCATTGGCCGAGATCTGCTCGTACTTCAAGGAGCTGTTGACGTCATCAGGGGCATTGTAGAGTAGGCTAGATAGGATCTGCCATCTGTAGTCTGGGCGCCGAGTGCCAGATAGGATATCAACATTGGTTCTTCCTTGATAATGATGAGACTATTCCAGCATTGTCAATTATGACCTTTTGGTGTGCTCTTATTTGGTGAAACTCGTGATGCAATTCTGCTTTTGGTTCGAGGTCACGACTATCTGG